CACTGAGCGCTCAACACAGACAGCATCGTCAGAAGGAAAGTTGATAAAATAAATTACAAATTTTGTATTGTTCGATACATATGCGTACCGAACCGAAGGCACTGTATGAACGGTTCAATATCGATATGAGTATCGTTGCACCCCTACTGTCTGGATATTGCAGTTGTGCAAATTACCATTGTTTATATATATATAACATATAATGCTAGATATTTATTAAAGTAAGCATTAATTGGATCAGTCAAAGCTGAGCACACTGCTAAAACCTTGGCCCTGTCCTCAACCTGCATGCTTACAGACTCCCTTTCAGTCTATTATTTAATTGAAACCAAACAGAAGTGAACTGAACAGTGTTTTTAGTCACATACATAGAGATCTAAACATCTCTCTGGTAAATAATGTTTAGTGTTCTTCTGCACATCATGCAGGTCCCATGGTTTCAGGTTTATTCAGGGTTATGGTTTATCATAACGCCGCTCTCCTCTGGATAAATCCTGAGGTCCACCTGAGGCTTAGTCCTCAAACTCACACAGTTTTAGCACTTTCACAGATGAGTTCCCCCCAAAGAAAATCATCCTGATTCTTCTTCCTCTTCTTTTCATTTCTCTACATAGTCACACTGTTTTCATAAAGAACCATGTGTACAGCATTAGCTTAAATTGTCTTATTTTTGTCAGACCCTCACTCGCTTCTTTTGCACTCCCTCATCAAAGGCCTTTATTTTTAGACACTAATTTGTACACCTCTTGTCAGGTAATTACTAAAATAAGCTGACTGCATCTTTGGATATAAAGATAGCTCACTGTTTGCATCACTCTATGATCTTTCCACTTCCATGGACACACTTTTGTAAATGCATCATCATGCTAATTTGCCCTACAGCACTGACACTCGGCCTTTTTGGTAAGCCCTAAAAGAGGATTTAGCACTGGCCCAGATATTAGTAGATCTGGTTTGAGATATTAAACTGACAGGTTTGACCACTCATGCTGTCTTTACCAGTTTTATTGCATGAAATGCTCTTAAAGTGAGGACCAACCTTCGGCTTAAGTGGATATTTCATTCTTCAAAGAAAAAGGGGTGGAGCGTTGCTCTGGTGCCTTCCAGCAGGACATAGTTTAAACTAAATTACTACAGTTATTTGACACTAATGTTTTTTACTCCAGGTGTTTGTAGACAGAAGCTACATTGGCCTTTTCAAGCGCCAGAGTCTGGAGCTGGCGGTTCCTGATGGTAAGGTATGATATCAAGTTGAACAGTGAAGAGAAAGGCTTCATTCAGTGTGATGGATGCTGGAGAGGCAGCTGTCTGGCTGTTAAAACGATCAAAAAACATAAATGTGATTGATCCCTACAGGGACGTCGTACCTTGAGTTTATTGGTGGAGAACTGTGGACGAGTTCACCAGGGAAGGGAGCTTGACAAGCAACGTAAAGGTGACTGACTGAAATTTTTGCTGTTCATCGCTCTGCCTGCTTTTAAATCACTCAAGCAATCAGTTTGTAGAGGGCAAGCCAATTTCGATTTGTGTTTTTGCAGGACTAGTGGGAGACATTTTATTAAACAATATCCCCTTGAGAGATTTTACAATATACAGCCTGGATATGAAACCCAGCTTCCTTGATAGGTTTGTAGACTTTATTAAATCTAATACGCTGCATATTACTTGCTTTTGTCTGTAATAGTGTGTTTGATGTGGCCTTATTTCAGTCTTTATCAAGCACCCTGGAAAAGTCTTTCTGAAACACCCAGCTTCCCTGGATTTTTCATGGGCAGACTGTTTGCATATGGGTATCCAAGTGACACGTTTGTGAAGCTGCCAGTAAGTGAACATAAACATAAACAGCTATGTTAAAAAATAAGTAAATGACATTTAAATGAACGGAAAAGACTAATCACATTGTTACACCTTGAAATCCAATAAATTAGAAGAAGGAATTCCGATGACTGAAACCTCCTTGTGGAGTAGCAGGTGGAAACTGACTTTTAAATGTCTGTCATTAGGATCTTTTGTGCTTTATCCTGTTGAAGTGTCTGCCTGTGAGTCTTCAATCTGGAAGAGGGTATAAAAAGCTCTTCAAATTATTTGAAATAACAAAATTAACTGTAAAGAAAATCTAATTACTGCCAGTTCACCGCTGCGTAGCTTGCAGGCATTGATTCAGCTTTGCATTCTTCAGCATCGCTTGAATATACAGTAATGTGAATCCGTTTATCTGAAAAGTGAGCTGAAAGTGGACCTTTTTCAAAGGATAATGATCTGAAGCACATTCGTGAAAGAATGGCTCAGAAAGAAGAAATGGAAGGTCATGCAATGACTTGGTTGAAAATAATAAAACCTTCAGTGTCACTGAAATGTTGAATGGGCATTTAAACCAAGGAGAATCATTTTACAGGGAAGAGAGTTTAGAAAGCAGGTACTGGTGGACGTACACAAAACTCCTACAAGGAGTGCCAATGGGGGCAAAATGAGCTTCTGATACTGTGGGTGTAATTTATTTTATTTTAAACAGAAGTATATGAGATCTGTTGGTAATCTTATTCAATGAACCACTGAAGAATTACCATTTGTGCTGTCCTTCAAGTACTATAAAACATCTTTTGTCTGCGGCATTTTTAAAATAGTCAAATGTTTCCTCATCTAAATATGTTAAAAACATACATAAAGAAGCCAGGTGTGTTTATACTTATTTTTTTAATTTGTTTTAATAAATGTATGTGTCTGGGATCCGCAGGGCTGGGAGAAAGGTGTTGTGTTTATCAATGGGTTGAACCTTGGGCGCTACTGGTCCATTGGCCCCCAGCAGACTCTCTACCTCCCAGGTCCTTTTCTCAATAGTGGAATCAATCAGGTATAACTGTTCAGAAGCAAATGATGAATTATGATGATTGTAGCACTTTGTTAGTCTGTGTGAGCGCCGCTTACAGCTACATCCAGAGTCCGTGGATGCATCCTTCAGGTCGGAGAACAGCTAATTTTAATAAAACGAGCTTGTAGTTTGATATCTGCTGTCACAGTATGATTGTAAACAGCTGTTGTTGGCGTTTGTAATGTTGGTTCTAATGAGTTGTTGATCCCAAAAGTTCAAATATGTAAATGTGTTTCACATTTTTTTCTCCTTAGTTTAATTAAGAATTTTAATTATTGCTTTTGTTTCTGTATCTGACAACCGTGACCTGATTTACTGTTAAACTGTTTCAGCCTTTGTGTTTTGTTTTGCTTCATTTCTTTTCTTTTTTTGCTTATATACTAAGTTAGCTTTTGCTATAGTGGCTTTGTATGATTGTTTCCCTGGATGCAAGCGATTATCATTTCATATAAGAATTACAGCAGAAGAACTGAAAGTAATTTTAAAAAAAAGTAGAGCAACACAATTTTTTAGGCTAATATTCTGTTCTAGAATATTTTTTATTCTCATAAATACAAAATGGTACAGCGCTTGTGTCCTTTCTTGTAGGTCTTTAACTACACAGCCAAAGCAGACGTGCTTGCGTGCAGTCCTCCAAAAAACCTCCACATAGCTTCATCGATCATTGGCGATGATGCTATGTGGAGGCAGAAAGATGATTGGTTTAAAGGTTTGCTAGAATAGGAAATAGATGACAAAGAATTTCTTAAAAAAGTATAAGACAGAATATAGACTTATGTAAAAGATGGTTGCAGCCACCATGATGTCACCCAGGGATGGATCTGGCTGTGTAGCCATCTGGTCATAACTACTTGAGACTGATAGCAATACTCAGAGTAAAAATTGTAGTTTGACTAAAACATGAAGTGTAATAGTTGTTAAAGTGTTGTAATAGTGAAAGTTGTGCCACACAGGTTACAATGTGTCTTATTTTCTCCGTTTCCATATGTTTGCATCTAAAGTGATGGCACAAGGACATACTTCTGATTGGATCACTCCCACTCGTCCCATCTTTCTACACAACTAAATTAGTTCTGATTGGATTTCTCTCTCTCTCTATAATATCTTCATCCTGTTTTAATCATTGATGAAAGAGTCAATAGACATCATCATAGTTTTTGTCCCTGTGACTTTAGCTTTTATGTAGTTATTGTCTTGTTTTTGTCAGAAAAAAGGTTGTTGACTAAAAATATGATGAAAATTATTGGTCTACAAAATTAACACTGCTTACTTGCTCTCTCTTATCTAGTGTTAGACGAGAAGACTGACGATATTAATGTGTTTAGGTTTTCCAAGGCTTCCAATAGCTTAGCCCAGCCTAGGATCACCATAGCTAATTTACATGTTGTTTGTTGCATATTTCATTCAAATTTGCTTGTAAGATGATTTTGTTACCTTCTGGGCGACTAAATATCTGCTGGCTCTAGCTTTGTAAACTGCTGTACTGTTAATGTATTTTTGTACTATAATTGCAAAAACCAAACAAATCTCTAACACTTGTCTGTGTTTTTTTTCACACTCAAATAAATTAGGTCATTGTGTTTGAGGAACAAGAGGGAGACTTCAAGGTCCACTTTGAGGATCAGGCTGATCTTGGCATGGCTGCTGACATCCAGTGACCAACATCACGTTACAATTCCAATGTTTGTGTTTATGTGTGTATGTATGTAAAATTTGCATTTCTTTTGTATTACTAGGTGTTTATCATATCAGGAGGAATTGAAATACAGGGAAACAATAAATTCTGTCAAATCCAATAAATTTCACCTACATATATATTGGGCGCTCATTCGGGATTCATTTTGAATATGGCACAGTTTAGTCTGGTAGATTTTATAGCTAATCCTACTTTATAACAGCTTGATGTACGAAGGAAATATGATTTATGTGCAGTTGCCTCACATTTTGAAATCTCTGTGTCTAAATCCATGAAAAGCGAATTTAGAACTCTGGTGAAATGGGCATATACATATATGCACACACACACACACACACACACACACACACACACACACACACACACACACACACACACACACACACACACATATATATATAGAGAGAGAGACATGACTCTTTAAATCAAAGACAGAGTCACGATTGTATGGGAGCAGTTTAAACCTATGTACATACAGTACCCTTATTTACAATAAATCTTTACACATACAGCAGAATTATTAAGCAATGATCACGTTCTGTGAATTTACAGTCTTAGAGTAACAATTTTAGGGAGTCTGGCTGTGGCAGGTGTGTCAGATTGTTAAATCTGTATTGCCTATGTGAATATACTTGAGTATGTATCAAGTAGCAGTTACTGCAATCTTAGGTCTGTAAAGCAAAAATCAGCTTCATGAGGCAGTAGTTTGAGCAGCTGTCAAATGAAACACAAGCAACATAGCAGTAGCATCAGACCCTAATCAAGTCAAGTCAAAGTTCAATGTTTCAAGTGTTTGAATGTTTCAAATGTCTGCAAATTAACACTGATAACTGACGGAACTCTTAAAACGATACAAAGTCATACAGAACATTTGCATTCTTAAGTGGTGTTGCTGCAAGTCAGTGGAGTATGAACTCATTACTCGCAAGCCTTCCATCCACGGTGAGAATAATTAGAATGTATAACACAGCTATTTGAAAGAATGCACTTCTGATTTTCAGAGTAATGGCTTTACATTCCATCGACTCTCACATGTACTGTTCACAACTAACATACCAATGCTACAAATTACTCTGAAACAATAAATAACTGCTAAGAAACCTTCACCCAGCGCAGTCTTAATTAGCTTATGAGGAAGTCTTTGAGTTTGACAGGCTAACAGCAATACTGGATCCTCTTTTAAATATGAGTGCATGTCAGCGCTGTTACAGCATGTTAAGCTTGTAGTAAATGAATGCGAGAGAGGACGCTGCTGTTAATAAGCCACTGCTCCATGTTTTTGTGTGCATGTGTGTCTGTGAGCAGTGTGACAGCTCAGTGTGCGCAAATGTATGTTCAAAAGTAGCAGGGCTCCTAATTAGTACTGGGTTCACTGTTGTACAGTACAAAAAGGGGGAGGGCTCAGATCCCATCAGTGCTGTCTAACAGTCGGTGCTGACTCTCTTGAAACAAGGACTTCTTTTATTTCCCTGTGCAGCTCTTTCCCCGACAGCCAGCTTGCATCAAAACAAAAGGGCCCCATTCAGTTCTGATTGGATGGTTGGCCGGTGTTGATGTCGCTCACAAGGCTCTTTATTGCTTGCTGTACCATCTCTTCCTGCAGCTAAGTCATGTGACATCCCTTATCTCAGAGGAGACCTCAGGTGGCAAACTCCTTTCAGTGCTGCTCCAGAACACACCAGTCGTTTTTGTGCAGTTGTGCTTTGATACTCTGTGGTCGCTCAAGCACACATGGCTTTGCTCTGCCTCTTCAACTGGACACGCGTAGCTTCATGCTAAGCTGTGGTGAAATACAGCTGCTGCGTCCTGGTAATACTTTTGACCGTGACTGTTGCTTTTTCGGAGCTCAGGTTGGTTTGAATCCAGGGAGAGCTCAGTAGAAACATTCCTCCCCTGAAACAAAAAAGTTTACACTTAATAAGTGCAATCAGGAAAAAAAGAAAATTAATTATTAGCCATGATAGAGGCCATGTAAAGCTTTATCAATGCAATATGATGTTCAAAATATCATACTCCCAAGTTTCCAGCATGGCAGTAGCATGCAAACTGACTTCCATGTGTCATAATTACAATGCGAAACCTCAGATTTTTAAGTACAGGTTCTGCCAAACACTGTTTGTATATAATCCCTTTAAAAATACAGCAATATAATCTGTGTGCACAGGCTTTAAATGACCTGTTTCTAATCTTGTAACTAATTTGTTTTTATAAGTAATCCATAACTTGTCCAATGATCCATGTGAGCCTGCATCCTAGCTGATGTAGGGGAAGAGACAGGCTCAGTGGTCTGTCACAGGGCTATGTTGTTTTGCCACTGCATGGAAAAGAATTACCTCGGGGAATTTGTCTGTAGATGCTCGTAAAGAATCATAAATATGACATTAAAATCATGTATAAAATTTACAGGTTTATTTTTATAAACCTGTAATTTTCACAAGTGCAAATGGTTCACATATTAACAAGCGGTAATTAGCAGTCTCCTTTATGTTTGAAAAAGATGGAGATGGCTGATATTATTATGCAAGAATGGCAACGTTCCATCTTTTCTTTTCTTCTTCTCATTAATATATATTAATAATGGTGAAATTATTACCAGATTTGCATATATTTTCAATCAATTTTACTGTGTATGCGCCAAATGCTAACATAGCTGTTTCAACAACACCTGAAGGAGTGTTCATTTAAATGCAATAAATTAGGACTTTTGTGGTGCCAGCTAACATTCACCATTTAAATGATTGCTGAATGTTCATCAGCTGATCTTCTTTCTCATTATCTAATCTTGGTTGAAAAATAATTCTAAAAAGAAAGTTTCACGGGTGTCTGTGATACCATGTCACTGTATGCTGGACAGCCTTCTTAAATGTTGGCTGGACAAACTGTGGGTTTTTGTCACTTTTTCCATTTTAAGGATGGGTTCAGTTAAAGTTTTACAGTCAGCCTTGTTTATGGTTTCTTGCATTAGGTTCCTCTTGTATCTCCTGTGAGAGCCTGTCAGTCCTTTGCATATGTTTCCTGTGTTATGTCCGTGTCTCCCTCTGTGGCTCGTCTCCCTTTCCTGTTCCCATGTTCCCCTCCTTGTGTTTCATTCCATGTCTTCCCTGCCTGTTATGTGCATGCATGTCTGTACTTCCCCCAGTTCCAGTGTCAAGCCTGTGTGTTTTAGCCTGCATCTCAGTATGTTTCCTGTTTTATTCTGACAGTCTCTCATCCAGCGTTCATTTTACCTATGTCATTATGTTTATTACAACACTCTGTAGTTGAGGGTTTATCCAGAAGGCTATGCGTGCAGTTTTTCCCCATCTTTTTTTCTCCCAAGATTTTCTCTCATGATACTGCATCTTTATTGTTTATTTCTTTCAGGGACTGTGTTAATCACACAAACAGAAAACATGATTTGTATCAGATTAAGCTACTGACTAATTTATGAGGCTAGCTCAAGCTCTAAATATCACAGGAGAGCTTATGAGACCACAAACTCTCTGCGGGAGCCTCTGAAAGAAAAAGACACAGAAGAACAAGACAAGGAAGAAAAAGGACTTATTGCCACCGACTGTCTCTACATGACTCTTTGCAAAGAAAGACAGACAGCAAATTCATACTATCAAGCTGTCTGAACTCGAAACTGAAACTAAATAAAAAAAGAAGAAGCAAAAGTGGCTGCTTTGGCTTTTCACCTAACTCGTCTCAACATTGTGTCTTAAAAATCATATTTATATACAACTACATGTTTATAGTGGTTAAAAAAATTAAGTTTTGCACCCAGAATTGGATGCAGGAAAAAAATTGTCAGTGAACAAATCACTGATGGCGCCCCTCCCTGAGCCTGGTTCTGCTGGAGGTTTCTTCCCATTAAAAGGGAGTTTTTCCTCCCTACTATTGCCAAGTGTTGCTCATATGGATCTTTAGATTGTTGGGGCTTTTTTTAAACCAACCACTGGCATCAAATTTAGGACTTAGCAATTCATCATAAAGTTGAGGCATTATCCTCAAACATATTTGCGAGTCCTTTTTAGTTGTATATAAAAATGATTTCTAGGGCACTAAGGCTAATCACACACTAATTAGAACAATTGGATAACATTGTGAAAAAGAAAAACAAAATAATGTTTGAAAAACTAGATATGTAATTTTTTCATATAGATTTCAAACAACATACTATTTGATGTCAACATATTTTTGTTACATCTGCAGTGCTCGTTGGTGTGTGTGAGTATATCCTTCTGTCTTGCTTCACATTTTACTTCTGCTTGGCTAGCTTTAGCCATGCTAGCATCAGCACAGGTAGAAACAGATATACATCAGAGAATTGGCCATGCATCTAAACTCAAAAGGAAAACTATAAAAATAAAAATATGGATAACTTTCAGATTAGATCCACATTTCCAACAGTAAATACACATTATTTCATATTCAAATTCAAATTCAAATTTTATTTGTCACACACACA